CTCTGCCTCCTGAGTGCTGGGATTAAAGGCGTGTGCCACCACACCTGGCTCTACTTCCTGCTCTTACCAAACCATCCTCTGAAGAGTACCCAAATTGCTGATAGGGAATTGGGACACAGATGGCTCTGGCTTCTTCTGTGCTGAACAGGGACACTGGGTGAGGCAATTGGGGTACCCCTTCAGTGGGTCTGTCTAAAAGACTCCCAAATTGCATAACTCTTATCTGTAGGGAGAAAAGAAAGTCCTTGACTGGTGAATAGGGGATGTGAAGGAGAAGTAAAGGCAAGAGTAGTTAGCATTACAAGAAGAACTTGAATTTTTACATTGAGTTATAGAGAATGATAGAAGGCATTGATGAAAGGTAATTGTTGAATTATTTAAAATTCTCTGATCATTAGCATCTTACATCATTAATTGTTATCATCCTCTTGATACTTTTTTTTGTTTGTTTTGGATTTTAGACACAAGTTTTCGTGTAGCTCAGGCTGGCCTCAGATTTTCTGTATAGCCAAGACTGGACTGTATCTTCTGATCTCCTACCTCTACCTTGCAGGTGCTAAAATTACAGGCATGTGCAGGTGAGGTGTCCCTGTAGTCCCAGCTGACCTGGAACTCACTATGTAAACCAGGCTATCCTGGAACTCACAGAGCTCCGCCTGCCTTCCAAGTGCTGGGACTAAAGGAGTGTGCCAACATGCCTGGCTAGTTTGGATGATTTTGAGGGGCTGGTGGCTAGGCACTTTTGGATCTTAATAAATCATGGGGCGGGGGGACTATTGGATTTACTGAACTGGGAAAAAGCACAGTAATTGACAGTTAAAAAGTTATCGTAATTGACACAGCATGGACTAGAAAGACCCAGGAATCTTGGATAGGTTATAAAGTAGAACTCATGTGGTATCCCAGAAATGGCTTGAAGAGAGAGCCATCTGGATAGAAGGGATTCACACTTTGTCTACCCCAAGAATGTTCTGGTGAGGTAGGAAGACAGATGGACTGTCCCCATACCACTGTTGTCTGTCCCTCACTCAGAACCTTCAAGCAGGCAGTGTAGTTATATGGGGGCTGGGGTGCTAGGGACAGGGATTGTTCTTTATTTGCCTGTCACTGTGGAGGTAGTAGACATTCTGGAAAGGGTTTCTCTTGGCTTTTACAGCATGGACAAAGAAACTGTATGGACAAATAGCCATTGCCTTATCACCAAAGACGATTTGGTGCCACACCTCTCTATGTGCTTAGGCAAGGCAGTGAGCTATTGTTTGATGTCTCCATCAAAATGCCACATACATTTTCTAGGAAACAGTACCATTAGATCTAGGTTCATT